CGGTTTAAAAGGGTAAGGGTACTGGTGAAATTACAGGCACATGGGACTTGTCAACTTATGTCACAGGGTAACGGGCGCAGTGGCAGTGCCTCTCAAAGCTCTGAGTGGCACTGCAAGTGTTGTGGACAGTCGTGTACCTTACCATTAGGCGCGCGACTTGTTCGTCCCGTCACTTGATATTATAGAAAAAACCTGGACCAGAGACGCACAGGACCGGGTGATGTACGGCTGGAATGATGGCGATGGTGTTCGATCTTTGTATTAATAATTATATCTTAAATTTTTCCTATTGAAAAACTTACGCTTTACGTTTTTATGGTTTTACGTAACGTTATTTATTACAATTTCTTCAACATTTACCTATCACAATACAAATCAGCTAACTACAAGCTACAAGTAATCACATAATTCATAGTAAATTGTATTCAATTGCAATGACAGTATATTTGTGACCTTGATGTCGTATAAGTAAAATGGAAAAGACAAATCCAAAGTCGCTTTGTTTACTTATGACCTGTATGACAATCATACGTTCAGAATTCAGCAATTGTGGTGGTAAAGTGAGATCACACGTCGCTACGTCACATAGCGTCACTACTTCATATAATGAATCATTGTAACTTAGAGACAAGTAATCGATAGACATTGACCCCAAACGATACAGTTTTAAACCAATTGGGAAACAATATGAAATAGAAATAAAAACCCACAACGCCACATCACAAGAAAGAAATACAAAAAAGTAATATGAATAAAAACAAAAAAAATATAATAATTATCACAAAAAATTGCGTAGCTAATATTTAAACCAACCAACAAATTTTACTATTTTACTAAATTAATACTATACTGACGTGTGTGTGGCTGTGATGTGTGCAAAAAGGATCTCATTTAGCAAAAGCCACAGCCGAGAATGGGCTGTGACGCGGGTTTTCAATGGACGCCAGCGAGTGAGTGACCTACGTGTGCGTCACGAAATTAAATAAAATCCACTAAAAATATTAAACAAATATCTATCTAATTCGTTAAAACATTTAATAACTATTATTCTTGTGCATTTACTATTTTCAATAATGCTGTCTGAAATTACGTTTCCCACGATTATTAAATTAAATAAAAATATGCAATTTAATCATATTAAACACAATTTCATTATCTCAATTTAAGTAATTCAACTGATTAAAAAAGAAAGGATGTAGGAGCGCCCTCTCGAGGTCCGCCGTATTTGACCTGAGTACAAGTTGTTTGTGAGCAAGAAGAAACGATTAAAGATATAGTAGATATGCATATATTTATACTCATAAAAATACACCAATATAGATTCATTATTTCATGACATTAAAATCAATGAGCCTGACCCAAATATAATCATTGTAGTCAGTTAGTCGAAGGCTATGGCTGTCGCAACTGTAAACTGAAGCGACTGATGAATTAGTTTATATGCATCATAGATACCAGCCATTTTTACAGTTCCAACGATGCCAGGTCAATATGTCGTGAAATACTTAACCCAAATCTTATTTACAATGAAAATTCGAAAGTGCTGAATCAAACTAACTACTTGTAATGGGAAACCGCTGAACGGCTTATTTTTTCGAGCTATTATACTCGATGACCGAACACTGTTCTACTTTCCCTTCTTTTTGGAGACTTTCCAAACCAGAACATTTACCACAATTATTTAATTTGCATATTCACGCTTCCAAGAAAATTGTTCACCGTTTTTCAAGTTCCACTTAATTTTTAAACGACCTCATTGTCTTGGAATGTTAGTCAGTTATGTGCTAAAATCTAAATTTAGAGTAAACATTATCTTTCTTGATACAAACACTTTTGAAGAATTGTGCTGGCAATTATATGCATAAATAAGGAAATAATATTTTATGCAATCGTAAGGAATAGGTACGAAATTTTAAGATCTAATTATGTAATGATTGCATACAATACTTTTTTTTCATAAAATTGAAATAATATAATACCACCAATATTTAAAGATTATTTGTTAACAATCCACGACAACTAACTCATACGAAAGCCAAACAAATAATACAAAACAAAAAACCAAAAAGATAGAAGTCTCCGTGATTGACCAAGTACCGCGTTTGAGTTTAATACTGTTTTTAAATAATAATTTTTTGCCAAATGTTTACGTTTTTGTACCTGTTATGTAACATTTTCAGATATTGTTTAATAAAATACTTTGAATTTTACTAATTTCACAGACATAATGACGTTATTCTGTTCAGGAATATATTGACGCGTGTAAGGAGACTTTTTAGTTAGCAAAATTACGACGTTCGTTGTTTAAAACTCATATTATTATAATCACAGATACTAAATCTATGATTATAATGAAATTTTTCACTTTAGTAGCGAGTACCATAGACAAAGAATTTTGATTCGGAACTGAAAAGAGCGCCTTTGTGATATGGTTTATGAAATTATAATTGACAGAAGTCTATAATCTAGATTCTACAGAAGTAGAAAAATATTATTAAAATCAACACTAAATTTATAATTTGTATAGCTATGATTATTTTAAATTGTTTCTAAATAAACAACACTTGTTACAGACTTTTGTACCTGTTTAATATAATATTTCTAAATCGCAATATATTATGAAGTTTGTTACACACATTATTGAATTTATCTATTTACATAGTAGGGTTTACCTTCTTAATGTTACGGTTTGATGGCTACATGTTGAGAACGAGGTGATTGGCAACGCAAAAAAATCGCAGTGACACATACTAAATTCACGCCAAACAAAATCACCGCGGACTGAAATAGAGTTACTTTCACGGAACTGCCAGCAAACACAAAACTAAATATAACGGACGTCTGTTATCACAAGCCGAGATGTTATTGACAGTTGGAGAACACATTGAGGTTTACGTCGTTTATGGCCCAAATAGACGATATCGTATCAAAGGCTCAAATGTTCACACGCAAAGTTATGTCATCTCTATTTTGTTGTGCACAACAGAGGATTTGTCTATCAGGGAAAACTGACATCATGTGTCATCATCACAAATTTATAATAGCATACCAAATGAAATAAAAAAAAAACAAGAAAAATTATCGAAATTTATTGCCCATCTAAAAAATTAAAAATTAAAAAAAATATCATCAATAACGATTTTATAAGTGAGACAAAATATCCAATAAAAGTTAAGTGCCATTTTCTTTGTCCTTAAATAGATTAGCTCTTAAATAATAAATAAAAGTTATTTAATTTTATGTTAATTCATATAAGAAAAAACGAATAATTATTACTAATTTGTAGTGATATTTATATTTGTCATTAATAATTTGTAGTGCTCTCCTGACTTTGCGGCGCCCTTGCAAGGTGTCATATGTGTGACTAGTACATTATATTTTTATAATATCTTTTATGAAACCATGTGGCAAGCAATAAAGATATGAATATGAATTTAAAATTTACTAGTTTTCAATATGCTCCATCAAATTCTCATTTCCAAAGACTTCTCTGCCTCTTCATCTGCCTATCACTTCTGCATCGACCATTTGCTTGGCGTATCTGTGAGTCTATAAAGATCAGTGGTCTTTGATTAGTCACAAAAATAGGAGATTTAAGATATTACAGTCCACAGTTAGTAATGTTTTTTATGATATTAAGGAATCTTCCTTTTATCGTTATTACAGCGGTTACCACTTTCCGTTAGGTGGATCACCAGACTAAAAAACCACTACATAAAAAAAAGGAAAAACAAAGTGTGTTATCAGAACAAGACCCATGATGGGGTAAACCTAGTCTTTACCTATGTCTACTTTCATGTCACATTTAAGTGTATAACTAACAAGATTAATGTCGTAACGGATGTAAGATCTCGCAATTTACCTCCTGTCCTAAGCTCGCCAGGGATAGAGCAGCAAGGTGATAACAAAGTGTGTCAAGAACAACTCTAAAATTATCCAACCCGTTGGATGTCATTGCTTCATGCGGTGTCCTAGTGGTCCGGCCAGGGCTGCCGATTGACGCACGAAATATTGATCGTGTCGTTAGCAACAAACCTCAATTAGACTTGTTGATTCCTATCCAATTACAAACTGTTATCATATTGCCAGGCGAAGGACTGTCTGGTTTCCGTTTTCCATTTGTGCGCTTTATCAATGTTTTATACTGGTATACACATATACCTCTAATAAATCACATGAATTAAGATAGTATATACATATAAAACACATAATTTATCAATGTGGTGATTAAAAGCTTTTATTTCGGATAACCTAACTTCTTCGACGTATTCTCAAATGGCAAAGATTCATATAGAGTTTTAAGGTTTTCGCCTTGCTTTCGCGATTGTTACCATTGGCAAAGAAACTTTTTTCGGACCTAACTTCGGAAGCATCAGCCGTGACCATGGGACTGTAAAGGGCTCGCATAGTTGGTTTGATTAAAAAACTAATATACACGATTCACATCTAAAAATAGTTTCATTTCCTAAGAACAACAATCCAGACAAGATACCTTAATAGCTAAATGGATGTACCATTCAAGATGTAGATTTGAAAATTTTCGGGAAAACAGTGTCGTGACGTATGATATTCTATGTTTAATAATTCCTTCCCTGAAAGTAGAGGGAAATGAAACTCGTAGAATTTCGAATGTAGAGTATCCGTAAGTGTGGTTACGGCGAAGGCGGTATTTTTGTACGTAGTCGTGACGTGACGAGCGTACTTCGCTACGGCGAGGTCGGCCGCCGCGCGTGAAGCACCCGCCACGCGCCCGCCGGCATTTCAGTATAGCGATCGCGCTCGCAGCTAACACACGTTCTAAACTTTAATTCCGGACTGCGATAAGCGACTATTTGCGATTTATTTTATTGAAATTGTTGATACAAATTTTAAAAATTTCTTCTATAAATTCTGAAATGCGCGTGTGCGCCGAGAGACAGTGCGTTCGTTGTACGCCGGCCCGGTGGGTGAAGCGCCACGCAGCTAAAATGGCAAATTCAGTGGAAGTATTGCATTTGCAGTTCAAACGGATGCTGAACAAAGAGCTGAGCCACTTCTCGGAGTCCAGCAAATCCGGCAACCAGATCTCGGAGTACATCTGCTCTACATTTTTAGGTAAGTTGAAGTAACCTTAATTCCATTGAACTAGATTCTTTGTATTAACTTAACATTGATGTAATAGGATAATTACATTATCTATATTCAAGTGTATAAAGTACAAAATTAAGTTAACTTGTATTACGATGAATATTGACAATGTATTAGTACGTTTACCTTTTACTAAGAACTCTGCATAGTGTCACAGTAACTTTTGGGTTTATAAACATAATTTTAATACTCGCGTGTGTAAGTTGGATCACACTACTATAGAACTATTTGAAAGACTAGTTAGATCTTGCAAACTATTCCATTATCACCGCGCTCAATGTGGAGGCAGACTTTAGACTTTTAGACAGAATATAGACACATAACGTTCTACTGCGGTATGTAGATACGGCGTCATGTAACTGCTAAAATTTGAGGGCCTTCAAAAGATGCGAGAATGAAGCTTACGCATCGTAGCTTTTCTGATGACCTGGGCCAATATTGACTACTTACCATCATGTAGCCTGTCTTTACTTATGTTTAAATTTGGATTAAAGTAACAACAACAAACAATAACATTAATTAGATGTCAACCTTTACATTCTGCGTACTCTATAGGTACGTTCAGATCACATGTCATAAAGGAATGAATATAAGAAACTGTAAACAACTTTGTTATTGCAAATCGAGACTCATCAACGACGTAGTCTCCGAGAAGTGAAAATAAAGCGCTTTCTTTCAATTAACATGATACTTTACGTAAGTTTTTCGTGAGTCACGTCGAAATGATGGCGTTTCTGTGCGTCATATAAATTAGTTCATGAAAAAGTCTTGACGAACGTGACGTATATGCGCCCGTTGCTTGAAATCCAACCCCCGGCCGCCCTCACGAGAATTGTTTGCCTACGCACGCGACCCCACCAAGTCCATATCTATGTTATTCTTGTCCAATTTTGGTCTAAGTAGGGCTTTACTTTTACCATTAAAAGACTACTACTACTACGAAACGTTTTTAGTCACAATAATCTTTATTTCCCGTAGAGATACGACCAAAATATGTAAATCACAATATATATCACATTGCTATCTTTATAAAAGGAAACATTTTTATCTATACAAAACCAGTATAAAATTGTTTAAGATGAACCTTTGCACGCGTACAATAACATTGATAAAACGGTCCAGAAGCCAATGTTATTCTTTATGAATATTCAAGTAGAGTTTATTGGGTATCGTAAAATATGCAGGGTACAATATTTCAACGGGTCAACGAGTTTGTCATTGAGACAGTAGGCGAAGCATTGATGTGACTATAGCGAATACCCATGGTACTGGGACCGTAATTAGTTTGTTTTCGCTCGCACCCAACAAGACAAACCAAATAATTTTAATGCCAATTTATTATGACAACAATTGACATCGAAATATTTTTAATAAGCCTGTTTATGTCTCAATGTTGGGCAAAGGCCTTGAAAAGGTCCAAGTTATAACGTTCAGGGAACAAGTCTGCAGGTAGGGAATTCCACTCTATGGCCGTTCGCCATATAAATGTGGAAGCGAAACGCTTCGTGTGAATCCTTGGAATACCCACAACATAGGGGTGGAACCCCAGTCTGCGCCTATAAAATAGTCCTCCGATGATGGAAAGGGGAAGGCGGAATCAAATTATGCAATTTCATCGCACACTCTCCGCGATATATCCTGTAGAATACTGATATGCTGGCAACTTTACGGCGGTGTTCAAGGCTCTGTAGCTTCGCGTCTACTAATTCCGAGTCACTTCTAAACCTCTGGGCACGTTTATCGATTGAGTCCAAAGTAGCTAGTTGGTATTTAGTAGAGCCATGTGCATAAGTGGCAGCAGTACTCCATACACGACCGGACTCGTGCTTGGTATAGCTGAAGCACGTTCCCGATGTAAAGTAATGCCTCACTTTGGAAAGGCTGCCAAGCTCCCTGGCTGCTATTTTGGCCATGGATTCAATATATCTGCCGAAGATGAGATTGGACGACAGGTCCATTCCAATTAGCTGGAGACGGTCGATCGGACTCCCATTTATCTTGGCCCACAACTCGCTCGGCATGCGGCTTAAATTTTATTTCGGTAAATTCCTTCTGCGTATCATGTATTTTTAATACCACTGCAGGCGATTATTTTTGGTATTTTGCAATTGGAACACAAGTAACGGTGTCAGTATTACACTAATATGCGGTAATTTCGAAACATTCCGCTCGAATAAATAAAACAGATCTCTGGAACTCGATAATAATGTGAAGATAGTAGAGTACATTCTATTCAGGGCAGGCCAACTAAGGCATTTGCTCTACTATTCTAGATTTGCAACCCTACAGTGCACTCGAATTAGGACATTCGTATTTAAACGAATGCTTACGTAAAAAGAGCAGTAACCTAGAGACTTTGACAGACATGTCTTGCCAACAAACTTATCTTTCTGTTATATTTGTTAAAAACAAGTTAGACGTAAATAAAACCAGTTTCGTATTTCGACTGACAGTACAAACAATCTTCATTTCTAACGCCATGTATCTGAATTCTATGAGAATAGATCTTTATGTGTATATGACGATTTGTTTTTATTCTAATCGTGCTCTCTGCTCACTTATCATGGGTGATTAGATAGAAAATGGATACGTCGTACTACATTAACGTGATAACAAACTTGGTATAATCCTTTGTAACAGTTATTTATCAAGGATTATTCCATCATACAATTCACTTGCGCCTAGTGCCCCTTGTGGGTTGATATTTAAATAATTTGTTTAAGGCTTATTAACCGTGTGAGTGCAAGTAAACAAAAATAAATTCAAACAAGGTTTATCAATACATACGCATAATAAGTTACTTGTTTTATCACCTGTCTTTGTACTTGTCACAAGTACTTAGTGGGCCAACAAGATTACGATTCACAATGTTGTAACAACTATTTTACATAAATAGATATAAAGACGTCTCTAAATTATATAATATTATTTAATATATTGATTGAACACTAATCTGTCATAATTTCAACACAGATAGGTTGACCCAGAATAATATCAATCAATCGTTTTAATAACCACTTCACACGTTCACCTACTTTCATACGGCATCAATGTACAACGGCACCATTTTTTGAAAACCAATATATAAAATTAAGTAATCTAAATTTATTTGCTTAGTTTCGAACTTATTACAAAACTTTATTGACAAAGTGGCCCAGTTACTTGAACAAACGTTCTTCTGCATTACAGACAAACAACAGGAGCTTGATTTACCATCCCTGCAAATTGATGAAAATGTTGAACGAGCTAAGAAAAAGGAAAAACCGCGCATTGGCGGACCTGGAAGTACTATGTCACAAGTAAGTCTAAAGTCATTGTTGACGTTGAGTTTTGAGTTACATTTACATAAAAATATATTGCAAATATCTGCAAGTCGCCGTTTACCGCTTCAAATAAACTAATTCAACTTTCGAATTGGTTACAGATATCGGGCATAAAAAGGACTCTGACACACACAAACAGCTTTACGGGAGAGCGTGTACCCAGACACGGAGTGGAAACACCCCACGAAGAAGAATTAGGCAAACTGCTCGGCGAACTCGACCGCTGGGGTGTCGATATCTTCCGGATTGGCGATCTTTCCTGTGGGCGGCCTCTAACGGCTGTCGCGTATGCCATCTTCACGTCGAGGGAGCTATTAAACACACTACAAATTCCGGCACGCACATTCATTGCCTTCGCCGTGACACTGGAGGAACACTATTGTCGTGACAACCCGTTCCACAACTCTCTCCACGCAGCCGATGTCACGCAGTCTACACACGTGCTTCTCAATACTCCAGCTCTTGACGCAGTATTCACGCCAATCGAGGTGTGTGCTGCTCTATTTGCAGCATGTGTTCACGATGTTGATCATCCTGGCCTTACAAATCAATATCTGGTCAACTCTAGCTCAGAACTAGCACTCATGTACAATGACGAGTCTGTACTTGAGAACCATCATCTTGCAGTAGCTTTCAAACTACTTCAAAACGAAGGATGTGACATTTTCGTGAATCTACACAAGAAACAGAGACAGACTCTGAGGAAAATGGTCATAGATATGGTGCTCTCAACAGACATGTCTAAACACATGACTCTGCTCGCAGACCTGAAGACTATGGTAGAAACCAAGAAAGTGGCAGGCAGTGGAGTCCTGTTATTGGATAATTACACAGACAGAATACAGGTTTTGGAGAATCTCGTACATTGCGCCGATCTCAGCAATCCCACTAAGCCACTGCCTTTGTATAAACGATGGGTAGGATTACTAATGGAAGAGTTCTTCCAGCAAGGAGATCGCGAAAGGGAGCAAGGAATGGACCTAAGTCCAATGTGCGACAGGCACAATGCTACGATAGAGAAAACACAGGTCGGGTTCATAGACTATATCGTACATCCGCTGTGGGAGACATGGGCGGATCTAGTCCACCCGGATGCTCAAGATATATTGGACACTTTAGAAGAAAACCGCGACTATTACCAGAGCATGATACCACCGTCTCCACCGCCGGCTTCTGTACAGGCTTCACACGCAGGAACAGATGATGACCGCCCCGAACAAATACGCTTCCAAGTAAGTATAAAAATAAGTTATTTGCATTTATGAACGAGTAGGTAGCATAATAGAGTACTAGCCGTGGTAGCGTAATTGTTTGTTGACCTACGGCCATTCAAGCAGAAGCCGTGAGTTCAATTCCGGGCTCACACAAATTTAATTTGAAATTTACCATGAGCTTATCAGCGAAGGAAAACATCGTGATGAAACTTGCACGTCGAAGAAGATTCACAACCCTCGGAAAACGTGTGAAGTCCAACCCGCGTTGGGCCAGCGTGGCGGACATGGCCTAAACCCTCGTCTGAGAGGAGACCTCTGCCCAGCAGTGGGACGTATAAATGGATTGATGATGAATGAGTAGGTGCATTTAGTATGGTAACTAGATATCCGAACTTAATTAATAACAAGGTATTTTTTGTCCTAGGTAACACTAGAAGAGGGGGAAGGTTCAGAAGATTGCGAAGGGGAGGGTGATGGTGGGATGTGACGGAAACTACTGGGAATTTGCAAGAAACTCTCAGAGAAGATGCAAGTGTGGTGGAAGCTCTGGCAGTAGAGCGAGAGCTAAGAGCGGACGGTAACGGATTAAGGGCGAAAAGCCCCGCGCCGTCGTAGGCATCGTCGGTGGGCGGTGGGCGCCAGGTGCCAGGCGCGGTAGTGCCGGCGTTGCGCCCGCACCTCGCCGACCCGCTCGCCGGCCAAAGTGGCTCGAACCTCTTGTTGGATAATAATAATAATAACACTTGTTGACGCTTACGTCGAAATGGAGCGTACCGCGGGTGTATCGTAACATTTCGATTTTGATTATTTATATGTGATTATTATGCAATGTTGTTTAGAGTTACCTAACGACTAAATAATTATGTCCCTCCAATGACTGTGTAACATTCGATTGTCTAGTGTTTTTACTATTGTTTCGTTTGTCTAACCAAAGATATGAAGAATTCAAAGGTTAAGTTCACAGATGATTTCGATATCCCTGTAAGTAGTTAGTCTTCGGTTCTTAAAGTCGTGTAAGTAGTTTAGTCGTCGGCACCGCTATACCGGGTCGACTAAGTAAGGACATTGAAAACGCTTATTAATTGGTATGAAAGGGTAATTTATATTGTCATATCATCCACGTTTCTCATATTTAATACGGGTTTGCGATAATGATGTTATTCACCAAAATATATTAACATAATAGGTATCCTATATATAAAATCTATTTTAAGGTAAATTTTAAAAAATTGCCTTTCGGAGTTGTTGTTGTGTCTTTTTTCTGAATATTTAATATTCGGCCAGCCTCTTACTGTGGAGACACGTAACCAATCATCCTGTTAGATAGCTTTACTTGATTTGGAAACCGAATAGCACCTCATTTCTTATAAAGGATCGCTGGCGATCTCTTTACTTTTTTCTTTAGAATAATGTATTATTTTTGTAAATTACGTATTACTTACAACTAGTTCTCTTACCCAAAAAATTAGTCATGAATCTAAGTATTTTTTTGTGAACGCAACTAACTGATTGAAGTTTTAATTAAATATTTAGTAGGTACTAACAAATGAGTGGTTTGCGACTAAGTTTTCTCTCGTTCAAAGACGAAATATCTGCAGAAGTATTAGTAAGGTTCGAACTATAGCGGCACATGGCCGGGTCTTGCAATACTAAGTAGTTTGTCACTGGGCTCCCTCAGCGCACAACTTGGTGGATGGTTTTTGCTTATTGTTGTGTGTTTACTGTTCATTTCATCACATTTGTAACCCAATAGGATATTCTTAAGATTACAAAATGTAGATCTGATTTCAATTTTATTCCTCCAGTTATTCATATCAGCAAATGTCACAGAACAGACATTAATTAGGTACTTTGTAACATCACGAACAGACGCATCCTTCATTTGCATTTCACTGCATCCATCATATTAATGTTACGATTTTATTACTTACGAGCTGGTCTCTATACTTTCATGTACTCAAAAGATATTTTGTTTATCCTAAAAAATAAACGATTCAGTTCATCGAACTCCAATTCTTTAGTATCTCCGACCTTTGTTAACAATTACCGCAGTATTCTAAGTCATCTGTCATTCATCTGCGTAGAGAATGAAGGTCCAATGTATATTATGTTTGTAGGTAAGAATTGAATCGGCGATTAATATTATTTGATAGGGAAGGTAGGACCCTAGGCACTGGCCCGTGAGTCACTTCGATCCAGACGGATCTATTGTGGCTGCTATCCCCATAAATTATAATTCGTCCTGTAGGCCAATCAATGTTCGTAATGATCCGTATAATGTTCTTAGGCTCGAGTTTCGACTACGGAGTCATCAGTCTGCAGGTATCTGTTAGACACCTTCCACTTAGACGTTTATTTATTCTGTTAATTAGGCTTCTTATGACGAAATTCAAACATCACCGCCGAAGAAAACCTTCGCGAGAAACCCGCATTGAGCACCTTGACATGCTCGTTACCCGCAACATGGCTTTAGTTTCGCTACGAGGGATCCCGAGTGTGGGGTCAGGGCCCATAATCAAGACCCTCGCCGCCCCTCTTGCCATGTCACCTGCAGCTTTGTTTCCCGCAACGCCAGTGTCCAAGTACCGAACCTAATGACAGAATTGTTACTATATATTATTTATGGCTCTTCAGATTTCAGTGCCTTAAGCGCCGCCTGATTGTCAAAAGGATTACTATTTTCTAAACTGGTGTTGCGGGTAGTCTAATCGGCGATGAAAAATCATTATTAATAGTAGCCACGGCTCTTAAAAGAACAAAACTCCTCGTAAGTTTAATTTAAGCTGTGTTTAGGTGCAGTATCTCCACATAAAGATGTAATTTAATGATTAGATTGTTTAATAATCTATATTGTCGATGACGCGAGTTCAATGCATAATGGGGTCGTTCACTTTTACTTTCCTACGCCCTGTTTGAAAAAAACTCAATATCGCCATGACGTCTTCACGATTGACATGAAAAATTGAAAACGCTTAAAATACGATTAAAAAAAATTGTGTGTTAATAGGAACATTACGCTTAGAATTTTTGTTTTATAATAATGTATGTATTTGTAACTAAAATTGTGTTAAATGTTAAATTGTGCGTACAACAGTAGATCTGTGTACACCTATAACGTATTTGAACGTACCAATCTTTCGTAGTTCACCTTGAACAAATTGTAATCTGTATGTGAACTCTGCAAGTCTAGATTTTTCTGTACAGTTTGTAAAAGGGGTTGCGATGTGTGTTGGGATTTCACAATCTGTACGACATAATAAAACAAGAATGTAGAATACCATAATATCCTTACACGCATCACAAAACTGAACACCATATAGCCAAATAAATATCAATAGCTATACACCTTCATGTAAATATATAACATATAGTAGGTACCTATATTGACGTAAGACTCCGAAAGATATACATTTTGTAAGGAGCTTATTGGTGTTCAAACCCTTTTGTAACAGGTCAAACGAGTTTCTAATAAATACGCTATAAGAAAGAGTAGTAAGAAATAAGCATCACATTCAAATAAAATATTAAAAAAGCACCAAAAATAGGTCTTCTATCAAACTGTTCAAGAATTTTGTTAAAATTTTATTTTAATGTGGTGCCTCTGTTATACAGATGTTCGCCTTAGTGACTCTCAACAATTTCTTGTTAGACCTTATAAATAATAATAGCCCAACCAAAATTGTGTAACTAGATTTATAATGTGCTCGTTGTTCAATCTCGTTTCAGTAAATAGGAGTACCTTTATAATACAAATAATAACATTTTGAAGATTAACAGTGTATCAACGTCAGAATAGGTTATTGATTTTATTAGAGCAGCTTGGTATTGTCCAAAGTAAGTGATTGAGAATTTGGAAAAGCCATACGCTGTGAAAATTCCAAACACAATTAAAAATCACTGCTTCATGAGTTTACAATGACAGCTGCCAATTTAACAATTTCGTATGGGAAATTTGACTGTGCCCCTAGCGGTCACAAGAAATGGCAATTCGTATACGCGATCGTTAGCAACGACTGTCGCTGTAAACGCATGGTCATAGTAAAGACCCGGTTCACATAATGTGTTCACGATCTGAGTTTGCATGAAGTTTTAAAGTGTTCAAGTCTTAGCGGATTAAAATATATTTAAAACGTGATTTTTTTTAATAATGACAAATGCAATGATGTTTTACTCGTGGTAGTCATGACCGACTGAATCTTGTTATGTTACTTTAATGATGATGTATTAGAATTTCACAGTGTATGGAAAAGAGGTGTGAGCAACAGACATGTTAATCCCATAGTCATATTTAGAATTACTTAATTAAAAATAATAATTATCAAATTATTTTGGCCAAAGTGGTTTCAGTGTCGTGTATATGTTTGATCAGTACGAAGAACTATCGCTAAGGTTGGATAATACCTACTTAGATAAATTTATTAATACCGAGTTAAAAGTGTGCAATGCTGGACATTTGCATTACTTATTATTTATGTTTAAAAATAAAAAATAGCTTGTAATAGTTTAAATGAGTATTTGAGTTGAATTAAAGAATATTAATGTATTTAGAATAAAAGATATGGGAGAAAATTTTAC